AAAACATCATGTTTTTAAGTTTATTTCAAACTTTTTACTGTTATGCAATTTTTCATGGACAATTTAACAAGAAAAAAAAAGAGAAAAATCACAATTAGCAGTTGAAGTAATTGATAATGTTAACATTCATACAATTGGATATCAAATAACATTCCTATGGATTAACTGTTTTATCCAACAATCTCTCTTGAATTTCAATCTAAAATAATTCTATAAAAATAGAACTATCATATTAATACTATAGGCCAACTATTTGAAACATAATTAGTGGTTCCACACTTACAATCAAGCATTATTGCATTGTTAATCTATTGCTCTATTACTAGAGCCCAATCAATAATCAACATATTTATTAACAATGTCTAAAATAAATTTTTAGTTTTGCTGGATCAATATGCCAAACTGTTTGCCTTAAACATTCTGAAATGCTCCACCTATACACTGGTAAGTAGTATTGGAGGCAGTGGGTAGCTGCATCCATTAGATTTTGATGGAAAAAAAAAAAAAATTTATCGAAATCCATTATCCGTGTAGGCCTGAAACTGTTGGTGAAAATGTTACAAGTATTAATTTATCCTATGATATCATGAGTAGGATTTATTAAATATAAACATGTGAAAACTTTCATTCCTTCTACTGATTACATTGTACAAAGCAAATTCTGAAGCAATCATTCATATTTTAATAGACTGCATTTTAAAGGTTTTAAAAAAAAATTTTCCACCTGAAATCTCAGTAAGATTGGTTATTCAATTATACAAGGTAAAGTCAAAAATTATCTGCACTCTTGTCTAAAAGATAGGTTATGCAACAACAACAAAAAAAAAAAAAAAATTAATGCATTTTTTTTTCTACTTTAAATGCTATATCTCTTTGGGACATAGATGATCACAACTATCCAGATTCCTTTTCATCATGTGAATTACCATGAACTCAGACTGGTTGCCACCCAAGTTTAAATAGCCTAGTCCACTTTGCTGTTTTATGACTAGTCAGTCCAACAATGGAGAGGGAGGGGGAAGAAGTCACTTTTCCAAGAACATAAGTGCAAAAGTGAATGCAACATACTAGATTTTTCACACCAGCAAACTACCCCTGCCAGCATTACCTAGTCCATACATGAAATAATAAGAGAATGGTCATTAACTGTAGCAAAAACGTAAGAGGTATTGCTTAGATAACTAAAGTCGCAACCCCATTATGTCAAAAAAAAAAAAAAAAAAAAAAAAAAAAAAAAAAAAATACACTTTTCCCATCATAATGTGTAGTTTACAAAAACTAATTGCGAATACTCTAGTTGCTCCAAACTAATTTCTCTTACACTTTGGGAGTTGATATTTAGAACTCTTTGATAGCACCGATTATATTTCAGTCACTTAAGTACATTTCCTTCTTGCTTAAAAAAAAAAAAAAAAGTTATTTCAGCAAGCTTAATATATGTTAAAGTAAGATATATCGGATAAATAGGTGTGTAGCAAAATAGGACACAAACCAGGAAAACTAAATCTTATGTTTTTTGGTTTCTTTTGTTTAAAATGACAAATCAGTTTGTTTTCTAACAGGATCTGAGTGACATGTCACCTGGTCTATGAGTCAGTACTTACTGATCAAAAGAAAATACCAGAAACCATAAGGTTGATTGAAAACAACATTAGTGAAACTTCTACCACAATTAACATATTGAGGGCCCATATAATCCTAAGCTAAGTCTTTAAGATTCATTAATTTTATCCCTTGTATCCCTGCATAGGATTTGGTCAGTTTTTTTTTTTTTTTTTTTTTTTTTTTACTTCCAGTAACCGCTTGTCTTAATGGCATAAAATAAAAAAAAAAAAAAAAACTGCAAAGCATTTGATATGCAGTTCTCTTATCCACATTGGTATAGTACGTTCAGCATCAAGAAAATTAAACCAAATCATGTTTACAGAAACATTGCATTTACTGAACTTATTGACATAGCTACAATTATGAACATTCAGCAATGACTAGACTTGTTATACATTACTGTTCAGAAATTGTAACTCCTTAATGATCAATTGGCTAAAAACAAATGAAAAATTCTTTGACACCTAAACTCTAAGCAATATACTTTTGTGGTGTAGACGTAGTTATAGTGTAATCTACAGATTATATATATTGACAAACTTTAAACCTGATTTACTGAGTAATTGTTGACTGTTCATTATCTGTCAATTACAATTTTTAAACTAAGAATTTATGTATTTATATAGAGCACATGCTAGTTAAAGACTTCTATAAAATCTTTAAAAGTGGCTAACCAGTAGACAGACTTCCTTGACACTTGTGGCTAAAATGTCACTATGTAAGTTAAGATTGCATGTGAGATTTTGTTTCTGTTCTGAGGGTAAAATTAGCAAAGCTTGTTAGAGATCATGACAAACGGATCCTTTCACAATTTTTTTTTTTATTTATTACATTGAGCAATACAGGACATTTTAGGACTAATTAAGTCGTGTTTTGGCCAAACAAGGTCAATATTTTACAAATTTCATTAATTAAATTGGTTAATAATTACTAACTTGGATCAAGCAATAGAGTAACAGACCAATAATTTCTAACTTGAAGTGTGGAGCTGCTGATTGTTACCATTTAGAAAGGTCAGTGGCATAAATGTAAGTTACAAATTACAATTACTTTCTTGCATGCAAAAATAATCTAACAGTATGTAATCCATACTAAAAAAAGGATTAGTAAGTGAGAAAAAAAAAAGGGGAAAGTAGAGAATAACATTTCTGTATTATATTCAGAACATAATATTGTAAATTGCTACTTAATTTAAAGCAATAGTAAATTGTAACACAAAAAAAAACTAAAAAGAATGACATAACTAGCCCAATATGTTAAGTGTTAATTTTCAGTATTAGAGTTAAATGTTTATCATGATAGAAATTGTTGCAAGGGAAATATTACAAATATTAAAGTTATCTCATGGTGCAGCCACAATCCTGGTGAAACAAGTTCTAGAATATATAAAACTGTTTGAAATAGAAGTTCATCAACATAATATGCCTACATAAACTTTCTAGCTTACTGCATTTTTAACCTTTAATATAAGTCTTAAAACAATCATGGTACCACAACTAGTGTTTTTGAGAAGGAACTAAAGTCCTATTGGGAGGAGAAAAAAAAAAAAAAAAAAAAAAAAGAGCAGTTTTCTTATATGGAGAGGGATAAAAAATAAAAGCAGCTATGCAAAAAAATAGTGTAAATATAGAAGAAAGTCATAAATAGCATTACGCTGGTTCATTATTACAAGTATTTTATTCAAATAAGAGAATTTAAATTTTGAATTCCTAGCAAGAAAACTAATTGCAACATTTTGTAAGGCACTAAGACAAGCCAGTGCCATGTACAGTCCAATGAAGAATATATATATATATATATAACTAATAGGGTTGAAAAAAAAAGTGCCCCAGAGGCTTATCCAGGCTCAAATGACATTGAACAATGCAATTTATATTAAAATGACTTCTTTTTTAAAAATAGAAATTAAACTTTCAAATCTTGATTTTTTTTTTTCTAAAACGTGGGTTTTCTATGAGGTCATAACCCACAGCAAAGCATTTGATAACAAACTGAGTTCACAACAAATCATTGTTAAAAAAAAAAGAAAAAAAAAGGGGGGGGTTACAGAATCTATGACAAATAAAAAATAGATTTAATCCAGTCATGATACCTCAACAGTACATCTAATATCATCCAGTTACATCCTACTATCTAAGATGAGAAGGGGATTACTCTAGTCAACCAGGCAAATGATATTAACTAAACGGTTATACAAGAGAGAACACCACCTAAAACAAGGGCAAAAAATATCCACTCTGAATTAGATATCTGAATATTTTACAATGCAAAGGACCCACTTTCCCCACCCCTCAGGCTCACAAAATAGAATTAAGCATTGAAAACTCACAATTAGATTTAATTTAATAAAAAGTTAAAAATTAAGAGATAACACTTTGATATGAAGAGCATGATCACAAGCAGGAAGATTTATTACATGGGCAAAGAACATTTAATACAGGCGACAAATGAAGGGGAGGGGGAATGTAACAATTTTCTTCTATACTCAACAAATTCACAATGACCCTCAAAAAGAATGGGAGGTCATTATGATAATTAGCCAATTTATTTTATATTTAACGGGCCAAAGTCTCGATAAAAAAAAAAAAAAAAAAAATGTATATATAACAAAACAATCTACCTAAATGGAATGTTAGTAGTGGATTTTTTTTTCCTTTTAGTCTTTCTCAAATGGTAAACAATATCTTCAGTTTTTTTTTTTGATCATTTATTTTTCTTTTTTAAATCAATTTTTCAAATTTTATTTTACAAATAAAATGACCCCCAACAGGCACCTTATGTACACTGTGAGGATACTGCAACACTGTTAACACTTCATATGTATATATACATACAACATACTTTACACTAAACTGGAACCTGCAAGTGTTACACTTATCCAACATACACGCAGTACCACTTCTCTGGAAATAAGTCTGAATATACATATGGCTACAGAAGGGCAAAATGCCAGTTGTTACTGCAGCTGTTATTTTCACATTCTCTTCACATACACACATGCATGCAGGAAAACAAACATACAGAGTGGGGAAACTACATCCTGACCCCCCAACTGGATAAATCTTCCTCTATCTGATATGTTCCAATCACCTCCCCACCACACAGCATTTCCTAAATTGTCAAGGAACCAAAGTAATCACCAATTTTTCCTTATTTGCAGCTCTTTAGGGGTCTATTGCATGGTGGTAGATGAGAAGAATGATACCAGAAAAGAAGAGGGGGTAATTTTATTTATTTATTTTTTTTTTTAAATGGGGGAGAGCAGTTTCCTTATGTAACATTGGCATTTCACTCCATAACTACTTCACTGCTACTGCATTTTTTTGTTTCATTTATCAACTATAGTGGGAGGAAGAATAGAAAGTGGAGAGAGAAAAAAAATTACCTTTCAAAGATCAGTGTCTTTTCTTATCTGCAAATGTTTCCCAAACTTTCAAACTTGCTTTAGGGGCTTTTTTTTTTTTTCAACTAGGAAAAGTTACCCACTAAAAACGTCAGAAAAAGAGAAGACACTGATCCTTTAAATATAGTGAGCCTCAAATATTTTTTTACCTTTTTTTTTTTTTTTTAATGTGTACAGAGGGGAGGAAAGTAGAAGTAAAGGGTCATGACAACATTCAGACTGTACACCTGTATTGCTACACAGCCAGCATAAGAACTTATTTTCCTTCTTGAAGGTTTGATTTTGTTGTTCTTCATCTTTAAAAAAAGATCCAATTTTTTTCCTCATGAAGTAGTCAAGGTGGAATAATGAAATTACATATTGAATTTTTTTTCATTTTTTTCCAGATAGTTTACTGCTTCCACCATACCCCCTAAAAAATTTAACAGTGGATTTTAATGAGATCTAATCACCCCGTGTTGAGAGGATCAAAGCAACAATAAGTCCATAAAGTCCCAAGACTTCTGCAAAGATGAGAATGAGGATCATGCCCACAAACAATCTCGGTTGCTGAGCTGTTCCTCGCACACCAGCATCGCCCACAATGCCTATGGCAAAGCCAGCAGCTAACCCACTCAAGCCGACACTTAAACCAGCACCCAGGTGAACAAAACTCCTGAAAAAAATAAAAATAAAAAAAATAAAAAATAAGAGTAAATATACAAGGCTTTATAGCTTGAAAGGAAAATTCTAATACCAATCATTTTCATTGCTTTCCTGCAAATTTGAAATAGTGGTGAGAATAAGAAACAGGAATTAGATAAATCAAAATAAACACTAATATCTAAATCCACCTTTTGATATAGTTACAATGGGTAATCTAAAAGAAAGTTTTAATTTATCATGATGTAGAGTAGAGGAATAATTAAACAGCATGTTTTTGATAGACTGCTGCTAAATCTCAATCTGATCAACTTCCCAAAATCTACCCATTTTTTAAGTCTTTCTTGCACCAAGAACTTTGGCACTCCATGTACATGTGTGGACACAGCAATTTAATATCTATGTAACTAAATAAATGTATATAATAAAAAGCTTTACAATTTCAGAAGAATCATGAACACACCAATCTGTTTATTTAACATCAAATTTATAGTCCATATGAAAATGAGTATACCTCAGATTAATTTTTTTTTATGGCTTTCAAAATCGAGCAAAAAAAAAAAAAAAAAAAAAAAAAAAAACTATAAAAATAGCAAAATCTATAACACTTTTCTTTTTTAAATTTCTAAAAAGAAAATTTTAGGAAAAAAAAAAAAAAAAAAAAAAAAAGAAAGCACGCTATAAAATAGGATACAAACCATTATATAGAACCTAAATAACTATTAACTATGAAGAACATTTACCCTTGGTGTTATTACAATGCAAAAGTCAGTAGAGTGGAGTTTTCCTGATTAAGCAATCAGTAGGTTCATTTGACAAGAAATAAGCATAGACAACTTGGATATAACTTCAAGAATTAACCTTCCATGATTCAAGTTGAGAGAGTAAATATCTTTCAAGAATTCCCAAGGTCTTAATTTCTGGGAAGAGAGAAATTAAATGTATGCCATCTTTTCACATTCAAAAATTGATAAAAGTCAGTCAGTATTGATTTTTTTTCTATCAAAGGGGTAATGAAGTAATGTATTGATTATAAACTACAAACCAAGCATTAAAAGATTTGCAAAAAAAAATAAAAAAATAAAAAAAAATTAAGACACACACACCCTGGCTGAGCTATGAAGTTTTCAGCACCTTGTATACAAGCTTGAAAAGTTTTAGATCAATGTTGCTACCATCTGCCAGCATGAGAAAAGATTATGGAATGAATGACATAACTGCATCAGACTAAAACTTACAAAATGTAACCTTTAACAGTTCAATTATGATAAAATATGGAACATATCCCTATTTTGTAAACTAGCAATATTAAGTTTTCGTGGGTATGTACACATGCGCACACACAAAATTTCAAATATTAATTTGTATAAATTTGCATGATTAAACATATAAATTTTATAGAAGAAATAAAACTGGAAAACTGAAACTAGAAGGAATATTGAATTGATCCAGCAATAAGAAATCAAAGTTAAACTTTGCAATTTCTTAGACTTTTATTGCATAAAAGAAAATACTGCACACTAATGCTGTTAAATCAAAGAACAAGATGGAAGAAATTATAGCAGTAAGGAAATTCTGCAGTATCCTCCACCCAACCTGCAAGAGTATAAAATTGACAAATTTCAATTAAATGAGGTTTTTATCTTTATATTATTAAGTGTAGAAAAATCAAATTTAAAAAAAAAAAAAAAAAAAAAAAAAAAATCCAGCTTTGTCAAAATCTCGACTGTCATCAATTATCACCATAATAAAGCAATTTGTAAAAAGGTATGAAGTATATTATAAATACAGTTTATATCTTGAAGAAATCTTCAAGTACTACTATTGGGCACCAGCAACAGCACTGATCCTGAGATTGATCTATCATTGATTTTTACAAGTTAAAAATGTTGACTATAGATCACTATTTTCTCCAAAACAAATAATATATATATATATATATATATATATATATATATATATATATATATATATATATATATATATATATATACACGAGAGAGAGATTAAGTATATTAACATATGTGAAATTTATACAATCTAGCAGGAACCTGCTGATTCTTTAACAGATTTTATTCCCAAATAGTCATATCAGAAAGTGTAAACAAAACCAGAAGAGAGGGAGGGGAAAAAAAAAACACCACCTTATTTTGGACATTAATTAAACCTCTTGTATTTGATAAGAAACTAATCTCAAAAATGATTGTTTTAGAAAGTGTGACAAAATAAAATGAAAGCAGCATCAGAGGCCATTCATATATTGTACAACAGAAAACAGTTCACACCTTCAGTATCAACATGCATATAGAATTAGCACAAACAAGTGTAGGACAAATAGAATAAAGGCCATTCTCCCACCCTGAAACTGCAATTACTGTAAAACAGGTACTAATTACAGCAGCAGAAATCAAATTTCAAACTGGGAAAAATGTACATTTTTCAATATCAAATGACAGTTTGCAATTTGAAATTGTTTTATCCTTTTGATCAAAAAGTAAGGCTTAATTATGTCCCTTTAAGAGAAGTCAAAATGTGACATCAAATGAAGAAATTTAAGACATCTTCACTTCCATAAGACTAAAACATTTATAGGCTATTTTAGTGGAACTTGTAGAGACAGTCATAGCATTTCCCCCCCACCAAATAGAAAGAAAAAATGCAGCTAGTGCTGCATCACTTCTGATAACTAAAGTTGAATACTGTACTCCAGCAGGCACAACTAACATACAGTTGAATAAATTAGTAGCATAATGTTATAAATTGTTATGAAGAAACAAAAATTGCACAATGCACTTTTGTTTAAAAAAAAAAAAAAAAAAAATTCATAAACAATAATACTTACTTGAATAAAGTATACTGCGTTTTGATATTGTTAGCAATGAGGACTGCCACAACCAATCCATAGATAGCAATAATACCAGCCATGACAACTGGAATGATGGACTTCATGATCAGTTCTGGACGCATCACAGACATAGCTGCAATGCCTGTACCAGATTTAGCAGTGCCATAGGCTGCCCCCAGAGCTTAAAAAAATAAAAAATAAAAGAAAAAAATATCCAGATTAAATTAGAATCAAGAAAGTTACTCTTTCATAAAATACTTTATCAGAAAACATGCTAGTCCATCAATCAAATATTGATACTTCATGAGGAAGAGAGGAAAAAAAAAAAAAAACCCACAACTAAGCACATCTAAATAGTGCACTGACTAGTATTCAAATTTTCACTACCCAGTTTCTTTAGTTTAAAATGTTAGCTTTTAAAATTCAAAATTTTAAACAAATAGACAAGGCACTGATAAAATTTTTCAATTTTGTTCAGATTACATGGTTAGAAGGAAATTTGTTTGCAAAACATTAAAATTTAGAATCCACAAGGAATTTCTGCTCAGATACTTTAAACAGCTTTTATTTAAACACAGAAATTATATTTTATGTTAATGTTCAAATAAAATATTACATTGTGCTGAAAGAAAATTCATCATACCAATACTAATTGGACTAAACATTTTTTCTAGACAATACCACTTTCTCTACTCACTACAAATAAATGATTTACACATTTAAAATTTGATGTCAATTTTCATTGTCATAATGATAAAGATAAATTTGTTACAATTAGTTAATCATTAAACTTTTGAAACATTAACTGACCTTTTTCATAATAGATTATGGCCTTAAATTCCATTTTTTCCAGACATTATAGATGTTACTTTTTTCATAATCATAATTACTGACAAAAAAAAAAAAAAAAAAAAAAAAAAAAAATCTAATTTGGAGAAATCATTGTTTTGACAGGCCATGCGCAATTTGAAAATCTTACAGGAAAGTTTGATGTGAGCAGATATGGAAAAGTTTTTAAAAACTTTAGATTTTAACTTTTACTACATTGGCAAAAAAGCTTATTTCAAAGATTAAACATTTTGTAAAGAGAATTACTTCAAACAAATTGTATGTTTTATTTACTTCAATGACAAATAGAAAATCTTATTAAATTTAGGTACTTCCAATAATTTGATACCTAAAGTATAAAATGAATTTTTATAAATAAAACATTTATCTGATGTTTTCACTTTAGCTTTAATTGAAAGCGAGAAGATTTAAATTTACTATTTCCAGTAAGCAAAATAGTGTATTTCAGAGATTATATGGATTGGAATCGATTTTTGATTTTTTCTAAGAGCTGATTAGTTGTCTTTCATTGCAATGTAATTCGCTGTATTAAAAATTTTTTGCAAAAATAAATTTTTCTGAAACTGAGGAATATCAGCTAATTTAAAGTATAATTAATCTGATTTTAAAAATATTTTCATCTTAAAATAACGTATTTTTAAGACAAAACAGTAGCTGTAATTTTTTTAACAGACCTCGCTATGTTTTACCGTACGTAATTGACGAGGTGTCGACAGATGGTGTAATGATTGCTGTTCGAGGGAGAACAACTGTAAAACAGCATTTAAGAAAACGACCCGACCCCCCCCTTTAAAGTACTAAGCAATCTTTGAAATTTTGGAAAATATTCTCCGTAATTTTAACTTACTAGCCATCACTTATTTTCTGATAATGTCGTGTATGGTAGTCCATACTTTCAAAAATAGGTAAGTTACATTATTTTCTATACATGAAAAATTAATTTACAAAATCTGTACAAAATAATTTTTATTAAGCTTTTGAATTTTTGAAAAGTAAATATAGTTTTCACTTATCACCTACCTAACCAGGAGGAAAAAAATGCATTTTTTATTTTACGATTCAGAGTAGATTTTCGGAAAATTAAAAAAAAAAAAAAAATTTCGGATGTAAATTTAATTTCTCTATTTCATGAAATCAAGTGGGGAAATATATATGTGTGTTTATTTTGTTGACACTTAACCTCCGCTTAGTATTGTAACTATTCAATTGGGAACTTTTTTACTCTTTGATAATCCAGAAAGTTTAAATTGGAAATGGTCTGATTAGTAATAATCAATGTCAAGTGAGTGGGTAGGAATGATTTGCACTGTCTCACAACTTTAATTGCATAAATTGCCAATCTGATTCTGATCATTTTGCCAAATTTAGTGTGATGAATAGAAAGGCATTTTATTTTTGCATAAAACATGCACGATAGTACGTTGTGAAAGAATAATTTTTTCTAGAAGTTTAGTTCGCTTACAGGACACTGAATTAACAAATGAAAAGTAGGTACCTCTACTTTTTTGTTGAAAAACAGCATAGCATGATGGAAAAAAGACCAAACTTAAAAACAAAATTTTATCAAAGTGTTTAGTTTATTTAAGGCTCTTAGCAGAAAGACCTAAGTGTTTTAATTGGGTTCAATATTTTTTTTTTCCGATGAATAACACATTGGTTTGGAAATTTACAAAAATCTATTGTCCGATTTAAACGAAACTTTCAGGACTTTTTCACAAATGATATTACTTTTGATTGAAATTTATACTTTGGTTAAAAAAAAAAATAAAAGAAGTTCCTTATCTAAAAAGGATAACCGAGAAAAGAGGAATCGAGAGATCATTCAATAAGAAAAACGGGAAATGTTTATTTTCTATTAACAGGGAGAGAATAAAGAGGTCAATAGTGTTTGCAGCTCACTTCAATGACATCGTTTTCTTAGACTTTGATCAACCCTATCTCGAAATTTGAGCTACGAAATCAATTTTCAATTACAATATGAAGACTGCAGAGTCACAGGTTACTAAGTCACACGATACGAAGGTTAGATGCATGTGACAACTGATGGAATTTTTTTGTGAGGACTTGAATTTTTGAGGGGACAAGTCGAATTAAATGAAACTTTTTTTTTACGCTAATCAATATATTTTGTTGGCGAAGTCAAATTAGTGCGTAAAATTTAGAGCAACCAAATCATACAAAGAAAGCAGAAATAATGGTCATGAAAGCAATAAAAAGCCACTTTGTCATGTGAATATTACGAGGAAATTTATATAAATTTCTTAGTGCATATGTTTACGAAGTAAAAATAGCAGGAAAGACGTTAATGTCGATAACATGATTTAACAATTTAAATTACAATAGAAAAAATAGCTATGTAAACAAGTGGCAACCCGCTTAGCCTGTTTTAAGACACTCCACTTTTGATGCACAGATGTAGGAAATCTGTTAAGATATCGAAAGAGAGAGAGAGAGTTAGAAAGGAACAAGAACTAAGCATCAAGCAAACGTGGTCCAAACGAGGAAGTTGCGGTTGCAGCAATAATGGTAGTAAGAGTGATATATGCAGAAGGAAGTGGGAGGAATAAGAGATGGCCTTAGGTTCGCCATATCTGTATACAATTATTATCAGTACATTGTTACAGCCACAGATTCCATATCAACTGTGGAAATCATTTAAAAGTGATGATAGAGTTCAAAATTATAGAAACCCAAGAAATCAATAAAATAAAGATTAGTTGCTCTTAATCACTATTCACAGATGACAAGTGCTTGGCTATTAAAAGAATTCAGTCTTACTCCCTTCTTAGACAACCAGAATGATACAGACTGATAAGGTTAAAAAGGTGATCAATTAGTTATCACCAATAAATAAATTTATATATATATATATATATATATATATATATATATATATATATATAAAATTACCGGCCTCTCCATTTTAAAGGTATTTCGAAATCACATCAGAACATGGCGATATGCAATTTAGTTTAAAATCAAATTAGAGAAAATCTGCATCTTTAAGTTTATAGCTGAATATTTAAATTCCATTTTTAATATTAATAATGTTAAATGAAATTAAACATTCAACTAAAATTATATTTTTAAAATTAACAAAGATTTTTTAGCAGTTTTCATGTAATTGTAACAGATATGGTCAGCTTTTTAGATGCAACAAAGAAAAAAAGGATCTTTCTCACTCGTCACATTTCTAATTCAGACTTTGGACCCAGAAATAAACAATTTACATTTTACAATATGGCTTCAATGCTGATAGTGACACGTACATACAAGGAAGAAAAAAAAAAAAAAAAAAAAAAAACACGATCGAAATGTGAATTTCGTCTTAACTCCTTAGCTTAACCATCAAATTTTTAAAAAGAATTTTTTTTTTAGTTAGAGACAAAATATTAAAGCACGACTGAAATCAACAGCTTAAAAAGAAAAAAAAAAAAAATTTGTCAAAATAAAAATTCCATACTAACAATTTTTTCGTTTGGCGAGACATTTCAGTTTATTTTAAACTCGACTACAAAAGAGATTACGATATATTCTGCTTTCTAAAATTAAGTTAAAAATCTAACGTAATTTTAAAAAGTGTTTGAAGGATCGCTATTCACAAATATTTGAAAAATTTAAATATTTCTAAAATAATCAGTGCTGAGATAAATCTACAAAAAATAATTACAAGACAGTAAAATACACCAGTAAAATTAACTAGATGAGAAATAGGAAGAAGCTTAAAATAAGGAATATGGGGAAGACAAAACCAAATGTTGCAGAACGTGTGGGCGTGAGTAATTTTTATATAAAAATCTCAAAAGACCTTCACAATGTTGGTTTTAATTTTTTTTTTTTTAACATACTTTATGATGTATGTTTGAAAATGGCTAGAAGCCTCCTACGCAAAACAAATACAATATCTAATTATCAAATTAGAGTAGATTTGATACATTGTGTTTTTGACATCCCCCGCTCTCAGGATCGATAGAAATCCCTTTAACGAAATGGAATTAATAATTTAGTAAAAACATACAAAAATATAGTTAGATAATTTAAGAGCAGGTTTGGCAAAAAGGAAAAAAAAAAAAAAAGCTATTAGCGAGAGCAAATTTGACTACTTGTTAGATTCTAAAAATATATATATATATATATATATATATATATAACTCATTACAGCAATTTCTTTAAAAAAAAAGTTCCTTTAGCTTAGGTAAGTAAATACATTTTTTTTTTAATTTTCTTCGGAGAAGCTTACGATGTTTAGGTAGGTAAATATGATTGCGAAAACAAAACCATTAACGTCGGTTTTACTTTTAATTTTTAAAAGCCTAAAAGTTAAAATATGACTAAGGCTTTGAGCTTTAAAGTAGATTTTATTACAAAGAGGGCGAGAAATTTTTATAAATACTAAAAAGGAAAACAAAAAAAAAAAAAACACCACCCACCTAACGTCGGACAGACTTGAATCTATGTAATAAAGTTTATTCTGCGTAGTTTATTTGCTTTTTTGGGAGGTGGGGGTGCCAACAAAAGAAAGCAAGATTAAATTTTATATTTACTTATTGCGATCTAAAGAGGGTGTAAAAGGTTTGGGTACTATATACAGAAGCTGCTTGTTTTGTGTTTTTTTTTTCTTTACAAAGCGATTGTGTAACAAAAAAAAAAAAAAAAAACAGCTATTTGTGACGACGTATGGCAATATTCTCTAACAAGTTCAGCACTTTTTGTCATCTTTTTAAGTAGATTCAATTTTTTATACACCGAAGTTGGAGTAAATATGGTTAAAAATGAAAAGTTAATATTTAAAGGGATTTAATGATTGACGTATTTTTTCTCCTTTATAGTCACCCCATCTAAATTCTGCATTTAAGAAAAGAAATTAAGTTAAGGTTTAAGGAAGCTTATCAAAAAAAGAAAAAATTAAGGATGAACAGAATTGAGTTGGGGGGGGTACTAGATTAGAAGAGGAAAAAAAAGATTCGTCATCTTTCTCCTTCGTCAGAAGATGTAGCAGTCAGGAATAAAGAAAAGCGAATGATTATGCTGATGAGTTGAAAGTATTACGATGAAAAGAGAAAAAGATGGTAGCGGAGATTTCTAGAGAAAGAGAAATAGTAGCAGTCCAAGTAGAGTAGACAAAGTACGAAGAAAAAGACTAAGAGGGTTAGTAGTACTCACCACTGAATACCATTGCCGAGGTGGCACCCATTACACCAAAGAAGGGTGTATATATAGGCGAGTCTTCTGCCATTGTGTAAGTAACAATATATTGATAGATAGAGCTAGAATGGACAGCTGTGTCGCTCACAAAAAAATGTAGTAAAGCGGCGGTCTCCAAGCAATTCACAGAATGACTGTATGAGAAGTCACAAGATGGCGAGTTTGATCAAGTCATATGATCGTATGTTGCTGGAATCTTCCGAGACACCGATTTTCATTAGATTACTAAAACGAGGCTGGCCAATAGCTTATCGTGTTCTAACGGTATTGCGGCAGCATTTCCGTTTCTCATACTGCCATCTTTTTATATCCACATGGCTAACACTTGGATTTTTAAAGGTTAAAGAAAACAATTTGTTTTAAATTTAATCCTCAGATTCGAATTTATTCTGAATTTTTATAAATATGAAATTTTCTTATACGGTAAGTAGTATTATTATTTGTAAGTAATAGTCAAAATTACATTCATTCATTCATGTTCCATGTTATTGTTTCTGTTTTTATAATGAAATCAAACACGTGTATATTAAAATTTATGAGTTTATTTATTTCGTGATTCTTTTCAGTTTGTGTTATGTATTTTGTTTAATACTAAATCATTACGTATTTGATCATTAGGATTTTAATTTGAAGACGAGAAAGAAAATTTTGTGGAGATGCATAACGCAGCTTTCATTTTTGCACAAAATTTAATCAAAAAATCAAAAAAATCAGTTTAATATTATTGTTACACTTTTCTTGAGTTTTAAGAACTAACTTTTTTCTTTTAGAAAAGAAATATTCTCTAGATGGAATTTTAATTTTTACCCTTTCCCGCCAATTACAATTCTACAACTTGTTTGCTTCATTAACAACCCTAATGAACGAAACAGTCTTGCTTGACAAAGTATTTTGTTTTAAAATGCAAAATCTTATGTTGGAAGATTTTAATTATTAAACCGATAATAAACCTGACTATCGAATAAAAACAGAATTGAAAGATTTCTACAGACGTTGATGATCTCGTAGTTTTGCGTCATTTAAGATGATTTTTGTGAAGGCGTTCGATCGAAATATTAAGAAAGCAGAGCCAAGAAGTTCGAATTCCCGTCAGTTTTGTTATTCAGTATGATCAAATATCTTGGGGAAATGTAAATCCAGCTTTGGGTTAGTTAGTATCAGTAAGTCATTAATCTCCCCAAAATTCTTACAGTGTAAAAAATATTTTCTGGCTTTCAAGCAATAGGTTGAAGCTGTAAAAAAAAAAAAAAAAAAAATCAAGTTAAATAAAACCTTCTTACTTACAAGTTCTGTCCATGGTCTTCTGAAAATCATTCTGTAGAACCGCATCTCTGTTGCTTCAGGTGAGAGGGCTTCACCAAATGGTTATCCGACATCATGTGGGCAAAGAAAAAGTTGTGTGCCATGTCCCTGGTAAGCAACCATTGTCCCTAACATGTTACTCTCAACCCCTCCTGGTTTCACTATGTCCTATGGGTGTTAAATTCTCCAAACCGTCTTTCCCTCATTATGAATCTCGGTGATTTCAAATGTCATTTTCTGACTATAAATGTCATTTTTGTTCCCATTTTCCTTAAAACTTCCTTGTTGCTTACCGTCTATGTTATTCTTAGCATCCTTCTGTAGAGCCACAGCATTCATTGCCATATAGGTCAATAGTAGTAGTTCATCACCCTTTATTTTGATTCTAACTTTCCTATTTTTTGTATTAGTCTCTGAGCTACTCCAATGCATCTGCAGATCTCTGTCAAATTTTCCATTGTCTGTTACAATACTACTCGGATAAACTAAATATTAAAGGTACCAGCTAAATTCTGATGTCTCTAATTTTTAGGTCACATCTTAGGCTGTCCATTTTGCTGACAACCATACATTGTCTTCTATAGTTGTTGTTTTTATTAGTACACTCTTTTCTTTTTTTTCTCCCAAAATTGTATGAATAAAAATCCAAGTAGTAAAAAAAAAAAAAATGGATGCTACATAAGCATGTGATCTATCTTTTAGAAAATAATCTAAATCCACAAGAAACAATTGAGGTGTACCTGTCCAAACATTACAATCTCGTCTAGACGTATGTTCATTAGTAAAATAGACAATCCAAGGTGTGAGTTACATATCGGGGACATCAAAATAAAGCCTGATGACTTATGGCCATTTCATATTGAAACAATCATCGAAATTAAGCAACACTGAGCCTGGTTAGTACCTCGATGGATAGCGTAATGGATAATTTCTCCAAATTGTTAATCAGAGAGATGAGTTCCAATTCCAGTCGGTTTATTATATTTGGGGAGAATGGCGATCATGTGACAAGGTGCACTGTAACAAATGATGAGATACTCAGTGTGATATAAAATTAAAACCGTTTTTATTAAAAATAAAATAAAAGCAAATTTTACTAAATATTAGAGATACACGAATTTGATGGTTTGTATGCCCAAAAAAGTGGTTAATTAATTCCTGGACAAGTAACTTATTTTATCTAAAATAAGGCTCAATGGTTGTTGTTGAGAAAAGACCAAGTTTACAATCAAAATCAATCAAATAACAAAATATCACAAGAAAGAGCCAGCATCTACAAAACAATGCAAATTACAAGGAAGAAGGTACAATAAAAGGGTTTCAGTGAAGTCAAAGCCAAAGTTAAAAGGTATAAAATGTGAATTTTCTTGGATTTGATGTGAATTGTCGGAGTTTGTGACATAATCAGTTCATGCCTTCCAAGTTGAGTCTTCAATGTAGAGCATTGTTTTTAGAACAGTACTAGTTTCCTGTTGTGGAAACGACTTTTTTTTTTTTTTCAATATTCAGAGGAAAATGAAACTTAATTCTGTTGTGAAAACAATTTGTTTGTCAAAACTTTGTTCAGGAGTGGGTTTCTTTGAGTTTACGCTTGTTCAGGTTTTCAGATGTTTTGGAAGGTGTTGCATCTACTACTGCTGGCATTGCATTTCCAACTCCCACTGTGTTTCAACTGTGGGGATTTTTATAGCCAAAGTTCAACTGGTTTACCTGACAAATTTTGGCAGTCAACACAAACATTTCATATTTCAACTGGCTCAAATAGCCATTGGTTAAAAAATCGCATTTATCAAAACAATTTATTGTAGAAGAAAAACACTTCTGTTTTTTCTTTTCCTTTCCTTTCATTCACCTTCAATTGACCCCACTCCACTTCTTGGTCAAGGAGTTTTGCATACAGGCTGGAAAGGTTCAGGTTTCTGTAAATTATGGTGGAGTAATGGATAGCAGTTCAGATTGAGGAATGATAGCCGATTTCAAATTCCATTCAAATCCATTACATTCACTTACATGATAATACTCTTGGGAAAGGTATGAATCCTCTTCTCCCACCAGCTATGGGTAAATTGCAGAACAGACTGGGTTCTGGAGCCTTAAATGGCAACCTACTGCGGGAAAAAATCTGCCTCGTCAGTTATGTATCGAAAGATACATGATCCTCTGTGCATGTATCACACATGGCACATAACTGACTTACCTTTATCCCTTCTCCTAACTACTGAGAACTGAAATTTATTCAGTGGCAAAAAAAAAAAAATACCATGAAATTATTTATAGAAAAGTAACAGGGAAGCTATGTTACAGTGGTAGGAAAGCGATTGAAGCTGAGATGCTAGGTCAGAACTGATAACATTGTAGATTCTTTTCTTTCTTTTTTTATCAAGAACCTCTAAATACATAGAAGAAGCACTTTATCAGTAATATTTGATGCATGAATGAATAGTAGACTGGAGAGAAAACTTGTCTAGCAGACATAGCAATTAATTTAATATATTTCCACTTCATTTTAGCCTGAGAAAGCACAATGAGTCACTCTCTTGGAGGTTAGCATCAGCCATGCTGATAGAAGGCAAAATGTTCTCCAAGATGATTAAAAGAGACCATTTTCATTTGGAAGGCATTAAAATTAACAAGTCATTTCTTGTCCCTATTAACAGATTGTAGATCATCAGATCAGCTGCCAATTTGACCCTATTAAATGAATCAGACTTACCATTAAGACTGGAATAAATAATTGTCATCAGGATAGATACTGAGATGAGAACTGATAACATTGAGAATCTTGTTGGTGAAAATTAGGGACTATGTAGGTAAAAGGATAGAGCTCCTCAGGACTTTTTTTCCACTATAATTCATGGCTTAATGTTGCCATTTCGACCACAAAAATATTTTGTAACATTTGGTTGGTCCCTATTAGTTTTTTTATTAGAATAATTTTGTCTATTTATTCTTTCCGTTTCAAATAATCTCATCTTGTAATGTCCTTTAGTGTCATCCCTGCTTCAATATAACTTGGATTCAAGGGAGGTAATTTTGATTGTTCTCTTAAATGAAATGCTCTCATGTTAAAAGTATGTTAATGTCATAATGAATATTCCTCGATTTGTTTTTTAGGGAGGAATTTAAAAAATGTTCTCCTATTTAAAATAATTATTAGTATTTGCATTTTAAGTGCTTCATATATTGATAATTAGATTACAGTTGAAATTATGACAAACAAAATGAAAAATTTTCATGAAGCTTACATTTCAGTTGGTTTGGAATTGCTTTTTTATTTTATTTTTTGACATCTGTAATTACAAATTTCAATAGCATTGATGTTCATTTATGCAAATAGTAATATTGTAACGGTCCAGTGTACCTAAGAAGCACTTTAAAAAACAAAACAAACATTTTTTTATGATTATAATATTTAAAATTCTAATTTGTTTACTATTTAACTTGAATAATTATTTCATGCCAGCTGCATCCTTAACAGAAGATTCTTGATAAAATTAAAAAAAAAAAAAAAATTCTGCAATGTTATTGGTACTGACCAGAAATTGCTTCAGTCCCTTTCCTATCGCTATAACTTCCCTTGGCTTTTTCTATAAATACTTTAATGGTAATTGTTCTGATGAACTTTCCATTATGGTACCTAGACTTTATGAATTAAAGCACAGTACTAGATTGGTAGCAAGGTTTCATCATTTTACAGTTGAAATGGTTAGATGTAGTCGTATGTTCTATGCTAACAGTTTTTTCTATCGCGTTTCTTGCTTGTAGAGCTCTATTCTGGATTCTTGCTTCCCTGTCAACTTTGATCTTCAAAAATTTAAATGCAATGTCAATCGTTATCTTCTGTTTTCTTGTTCTTTTATTGTCTTCTCTCCTTAATAGTAGTTCTTCTCACATTCTCTAACACTCAGTAACTTCTTGCTTCCTAGTGGCTTTATTGCCTTGCTTGGGGTGAAATGATTTAAAAAAAATAAAAGAACTGTTTAAGTTTTC